CTTGGAGGATACAGCATCTTGAAATGTTCTGCAGTCCTGCTTTTAGCACTTGCTCTCAGTGCTCTTACTTGACAAGGCTTTAGACAGCATAGCTCTGAGAGGGAGAAGCCTTTGTAACAGGAGCTGTGACATCTCAGCCATGCCAGCCAGACAGCAGTCGCCACCCCCTTACTTTCAGAGGGTTTTCATCATAGACAGAAGAGGAAGGGAACTTTAAATGCCAACAAGGGGGGCCAGTACATTATTGCTTTTAGACTGTACTGCACATGTCAGCTCAATCTATCATCAGGGAGTGAAGATTCCAAAACATTTTTGGGTATCGCTGCTCACAAAAGGTACTTATCATCCAAACTAATTAAGGAAGGAAAAGTACAACCGTGGCTCTTGTGACACTAATTTTCTACAGTATGAATGTATTTGTTAAAGGCTCTTTCCTCTAGGAAGTCAGAACACCGCGCTATTTTCTTTATATGAAATGCTTTTGAAGACCTAAACCTGTCAAGTAAAAAGAAATTATACAATTCATTAGTCTAACTTCAGAGCTCTACTGGAGACATTTACATCTGAGCATGTCACATAGGCATCCCTCATATGGAAAGGAGGAAAAGAGGCACTGTTAGCATAAAAAGTATCATAAGCTCTGAAACAAACCTCAAATAGGTCAGAAGAGTTGTTCTCTGTGCAACTTAGAGAATTGAGCACTCCTAAAGAACATTAATCTAGATATAAGTCTCTGTCACACATCTCTCAGTCTTTGGAGTTGAATCTCCTCAAATTATCAGGTGCAGTATTTTCAAGTATATGCATGTTTATTTATAGTTGTCCTTGAGAAGCTTCTTTTGAACTATTAGTGATTTAAAAAATGAGGTGAAAGTAGAAACAAACCAACATCTGAAGTAAACATAACAGTCTGATGATTGTGAAGTGATTTGTGATTCTGATCAGGAAGCACCACAGAAGAACAGTAAAGGGTAAATGGTTTATAAATGTGTAGGGGAAAGTACAAATTTATACAGTTCCTCAAAGAGGGAACCCTAAAGTTTATAACAACAGTAGAGATTCTTCCTGCCCTCCCCAGGAAGTACTGAGAGAAGTGGGACACTCACCTTCTCTCTTTCCATAGCTCAGCTTTGAATGTGTGGTGGGGAAATGCAACTCAGGATTCAAAGTTAATGAATTTGCAACAGAAAACAAGTCAGGGAGAATAGTGCAGAAAGCAATATGGAACTGCACTGCTAGTGCTACTTAGGCAGTCTTTGTCCACATCCTACCCGAGACAGCTCACACACTGGATGAGCCGGGCAAATCTGTTTCCATCCATTATCTGCTACAAAAAGAAAAGGACTAAGACATACAAGGCTGACAAGTAAATTCATGAATCATGCTGAGTTTGCTTTAGCATTGCTTAAACACAGGATCTTGATTTAGGACTCCAAAGACCTGGATCTCCTGCTATTGTCCTGCCTAGCGAGACTGAGCAGGTCATTCAATTTTTGTATGTTTTCCTCATCTGCAAAATCAGGCAACACTAATGATGTCCGTGCTTTTGCGGTCTTCTAGTAACTAGTGCTCTTCAGGAGTCCAAGTAAGTCTGAGAGAGAAGAGCAAACCTGAAGTGACTAAAGGCAATCAGAAGGGTATTACACATGTGCTTGCTCCTGCATTTGGATCTCACAACAGCTTGAGTTCTACCTCACTGGCAGAAATCCACGAGGCAGTAAAAGCTTGGTTGTTTTTCCTAAAACAATCCTGTAAGTCAACACTGCTGAGGAAAAAGCATGGTGCAGGTGCCTATCTCACACCCAAAAGAGCTACAGGCAGTTTATTTTGCTGAATTGTGATGTCTGGATCATTTTTTTTATCTTTGAAAAGTAAAACCTGAACTTTTAGGTCATGGTAAGTTACTAAAGGAGTAGACGATTTTCAGATTACTCTGGATTCTATTTGTGTTATAACAACTGCTTTGTAATTTGCACGGGAGAAGGAACATTCCTCCCCCTGTGCATTTTTTTTTTTTTTAGGTAAGTCGTGATTGTGTTTCTGCAGGCTTATACTTGGGTTTCTCATTCAGGATTGCAGTAATTTAGCTTGTACAGACCTGTTTTTGTAATACAAGCCGCTCTTTCGATTTTTTTTTTTGTATTAGCCAACCTAACTAATTCTAGCAAAGAGTCGGTGTGGCTGTTTATGTAAGTGGATGAGATGTTACCCTTGAAGCTCCCCAGGTGCACGTTACTCTGCGCTTTCTGTAAGCACAAGGAGCTGACTGTACTGAACTCCGCCCGGCTGTTTTTCATTTCCTACTCAAGATCGAGCGCTCCGTGCTAGCAGGGGGCCCTCGCCCGTATCCACCGGGCAGTGGGCACCGCGCCGGGAGCCGACCTCTCGGCCAGGGCACCAACTCGCCCGCCGGCTCCCTGCCGCCCAGCCGAGAGCCGGCCCGGGGCGCTGCCGCCCGCGGCCACGCCTGCACCGGGCCGGAAGGCTGCGCGGGACGGCTGCCGGCGAGGTGCACGGCGGCGGGCGACGGGGTTTTCCGAGAAGTTGGGGACAGAAGGTGCCGAGAACATTCCTCGTTCTCGCTCTCTCCGTAGGGCTGGGACGCGCTGCCAGAGCCAGCGCAGGCTGCCGGCGGTGCTGCCCTAGGCAAGACCCGCGAGAAGCTCAGAGCCATCGATCCGGCGCCTCCGCCGACCGCCGAGAGCGCGCCGGGAAGCCCGGGGATTCCCCCCGCCCCGCTCTCCGGGAACACGTCCGAGGAACACCGGGGACGCGGGGACCAGGAACGGCGAGGGGAACGTGCCCGGGGAAGGAGAGGACGAGGCGTGCGGCAGCCTCTTTTGCTCCCTCGCCCCAGTAAAACCCCCGGGCCCCTCTGCCCGGCTCCGGCGGCGGTCACTTCCCTCGGCAGACTCGGGAGCGGATGGCTCCGGCTCTCCGGTGCTTCAATGCAGATGGAGGGGGAAGAGAAAGGAGCCCGCCGGGATGCCGGGCAGCCCCGTCCACCGGCGACAGGATGCTGCGGGACCTGGCCCGGGCTCGCCTCGCCTTGGCCGCCCCCCGCCCCCGGCGCAGCCCGCACCCACCTCGAAGAAGCCGGCTCTGCCGCCCNGCCCCGCCCGGGCCGGGGCCGCTGCCCGGCCGTGCCGGTGGGCGGCTGCTGGCAGCGCTGCCTGCCCAGCCGGCGGCCGTGCCCCGGGCAGCCGCAGCAGTGCGGGACCGTCGGCACCTCGCGCACGCCAAGTTCTGCAGCTCCCGGTGTTCAAAAACTGCGGGAGAAGAACAATATGCACCGGCCGCCGGGAGTGACATTTCATTCAGAAGGGTGATTTATTTTTCTTTGAAAATTACTGCAGGAAATATTTTTCTTTTTAAAGAGCTGAAGTATCTTAATGAGATAACTTGAAAAATGGAACTGATCATGAGCTAGAAAATATCTTCCTTTCTTTTTTTTGATAGTTTACCTGATGTTTCAGGGGTGATTGGACGGACAGAACTCTACTGAGCTCCCTTCTTCTCCTGTGATGCGTTCCTGCCACTGCTGAGCATTACATGCGTGGCATAAAGCAGTACAGAGCTGACGCTGTTTTTCCTCCACCCAGTCTTCATTACGTGATATCTTTTCTTTAAAAGCTAAGGTAATTAAATATCAACAAAATCTACTAGGCTACAAAGGAACATTGCTTTTTCACTGCCATAAATTTCCATTAGACGGAAAGATTTGTGCTATATACTGTTTGAAAACCTTCTGCTATCTCCAAGTTTAATCTTCTTGCACAGATCTAGAACCACCAAAGCTACTGAAATATCAAATAATAAATTTCACCAAAAGAAAAGGCCTCTACTGGAAAGCCAGAAAGCTGATCAGAAAGCCCTAACAGGACATTATTCATTATTAGTGTGAATATGGGCAAATACAAAAACATTCACTGCTTCACAAACTAATCCCGAGATTGGAGAATTAATGTTTGGACCAAGTTAGACATTCTGGATTATTATGCTAAAGAAAACGGAAACAAAATTATTTCTTCTCCAAATAGGCTGGCATTTCTTTCAGTACATTTCATTTCCACACGCTCTGTAACCATATAGGATCATGAAAACATTTCCCAACATGAAAAATTAATCAGATCACAAATATAAAGGACATTTAAACTAAGCTTCTGTACCAGAAAGCGATCAGGCAGTGCTTCAGACTGACAGAAGTTATGCAAATTGGTTCCCTCTACTAGCACAATACAGCTTGAGGAAGAAAAATCTATTAGAAACACAATTCAAATTCCCCAGCTGACTCCAAAATTAGAATTTGTGGCTCACTGTTCCCTTTAACAGGAGTTACAGAAGAAAAAAGCCACCCCCCTCAACACTCCTGTACAGAAGGATTTTGGTCAGAGTGTGGTGTTCCAGAAGTCTCCTCATCTTAAAAAAGAAAATACCCCCAAACCACAATCGTTCAGGGTTCACCCGGTGCGTCTTCACTGGAACCAGCTGGTGTAAAACTGGGGTGCTGCCCTGACTGACATTGTTTCACCCAACTGCAAACACAGCCAGAAGGGGCAAGCATTTGGGTGCTTTTTCTGGGCCTTTTAGCCCGGTGTCTGTCAATGACTGCCTGTTACTGGAACGCGTCATGAGCACAATTCAGCTGGTTCCTGAGAGCATTAAATGAGAGCATTTACCGAACCCGCACAGCAGCCACAGCCCGGCGCGGCCGCGGCTCGAGGGGTGTTACCGAACCCGGGCTGCTACTACCGGGCAGTGCCTCGTGTGCTTTGGCTACTCCGTTGGGCGCGACGCCGGGTCCGGGTCCCGCGGCCGCTGCCCCCGGGGCCGGACACGGCCACGGCCC